GTTTCTACTCGTTTCTCTCGTCGCGCTCTTTTCGACGCCCAGAGATGAGTCGATACAGGAGTGTCCACTTGATATGTGCGGAAATGAGTTTTATTAGGTGGCCATATATCTTCGAAGCTCGCTGACCTTTAAGACAGAGTCGCACGCTATCTCGTCGGGCCACGTTGTCTCATTGCCTAGGGTCCTCTGGAAGTGGATAGATGTTGATTGACGGACTTGGATTCCATGGGGACACGCCCTTCCAATGGCATCTGCGCCATGCCAGCTTTGTCAGCATAGTGCCCCAGAGAGAGTGAAAACTGCAACCTTCCATAGCGACGCCGCGCCAGTGCTCGCTGCTTGTTGGCAACGCATCCCCAAAAATTCTTTTGGGCCACATCCCAAATATACTTGTGCCGTATGCTCTACAAGGACATTCGATAAACAGGCAAATTATACCTCCTTCGTTTCCTCTGATGCACGTGCATTTGTATCTGAGCCACGCACCCTCACTCTTTAAGTTATTGTTGCAACGCTATCTTCCGTTTATAAACCTATCTTCCTCACCGGTTGCCAAGTCCACTTCGCATCCCATCTCATCCGTGCTCCCATCGTCTCGCAACCCCACGGCCACCATGGCCCCCTTCTTCTTCATGAAGCTCCACACCGTCTTCGACGTCTCTACCGCCCTCGCCACTCTCCACCACCCCTTGCATCAGGCCGTCGAAGCGGCCAACTCTCTTCTCTCGCACCGCCAGCACCGAGCCCTCTCCGAACTTGTCGCTCTCTACAGCTCACATAGATTGCAGCCCCGCCTGCAAAGCCTGGCCTGCGACCTGAGTCGTCAGACTCCAGCCTCGCTTTCATCTGCCGACAGGACCCGCCTGGAGGAACTTCAGAAGCACTATAGTCTCAACTTCTTCACTCCCGCCAACGCCCTCCAGAACGCTCTCGCAGTCGTCGAGTCGAGTGCGGAAGAGGAAGAGAAGGACAAAGCCGTGAGGAAGTTGCTGGAGGAGATCGACGACTTTCGCAAGACTGCCGAGAGAGCATGCCAAATCGTCAATGATATCAAGGATGTGCTACGCAAGTACCTATCCAATGAAAGTATTTGTGGGCCAAGCCACTCGAAGAGGAGCGTGTCAGATTTGAACTGTGAGATGTCAGTCGGATCAACAAATTTGTCGCTGGCCCCGCCTGGAATCTTGAGAAACCGAAACGATGGGTACTTGCAACCGCGGTTGTCGGATGATAGAAGTGGTGGGCGCCATCGGAAAAAGTCAGTCTCGTTCGAAGCTGAGAAACCCAAGCCCAAGCCGAAGCCCAAGCCCAAGCCCACGATTCATGAAGAGGGCGGAAGGCCGAGCAAGACTCTTGAAAGTGAGCACCACCACAAGGCCAGGGCCCGCAACGATGTAAAGCAAAAGGCCTGTAGATCCAATCGCCATCAAGAGCAGCCTGATCGGCATGCTGAGAAGAGTGTCGAAAAGAGGGAGAGCTTGCGAAAAAGCCCCGAGTTCACTGTGTTTATCAGTCATTGTGGTGAGGACAAGCAAAAAATGGCCATCCCGCTGCATAAGAAGTTGACAGAATTGAGCATTTCCAGTTTTGTGGACCACTTGTCGATGAAGGCAGGCCGAAACGGCCATGAAGCAATGAATCATGCTATGAACGTAGCACAGATCGGAGTGTTCATCGTCTCGCCTGAGTGCGTTCCGCGAGAATGGCCTATCAAGGAGTTGTCTTGTTTTCTCAAAAGGTTGGAAGAAGCGAAAAAGAATAACACGAAAAAACCGATTCTTATACCGCTCTACTACCGGATGAATGTTGAGGAATCGAAGCACAGGCTGTTCGGGATGCCCAGCTGTCATGGCGGAGGTACAGCCTGCCGACTTGAGGGTTTCCGCAAAAGAGTCGAACGGGGAGAGGCGTCGTATGCGGATGTCAGAAAGTGCTTCCAGGACCTTGCCAAAACCACTGGTATCGAGTATACTGCTATCGAGAACAAGCTGGCTTCCCCCAACGCCAATACGCCAGAAGCGCAACAAAACCGTGACAAATTACTGAAAGACGTTGTCAAAGCCATTGTTTCACACATGAGCGTTTGATATGGCAGCAGTGCTGGTTTGCAATGTTTTACATCCGTCTCACTCTTTGGAATGATCTAGGCAACGTAATCAGAAGATAGTCTGGGGCGGATGCTACTCCTTGCAATGAGCTCTGCGGCTAAGAATATATTCCGTTTGTGTCTATACATTGATAGCTCAATTCTAACCAGAGATCAATAAACGCATCTTGTACTTATCATCTGAGAATCTGTAAGAATCTGTGAGGTTCGCACCCCATAGGATATTTCATAGTTTATAATCTTGAGTGATTTAGGTCTGAGAGCTGCATAAAAGAGCCCTGCCAATATTTTGTAGTGGAGAGGGTGTTCAGTGTACGGTTAGCATGATGCAATTTATCCAGGGACAGGGATTTCATGATTCTTAACTTCATTGTTGACTCGGTTCTTTTCTTAAGCATATCAATATGATGGCATGGTTGAGAACTTCACTTTCTTCTAGAGATGGACTAGGTGAACCAACCACACCGGGAGGAATCGTATCGGTAAACAACGCTATTGAGTCTCATGAGTGAGCATGTAACATGATGTGTATACCAATTTACGGGGTACATGGGGTATTCTAGAAAGGCAAAATCAATGCTAGTTGCTCAAAATATCTACCCGATTGCTACATTGTGAAGTAGGGAATTTAGATCACTGTCTCCGTGTGTGACTCTACATTTGTATTTCATAAGGAATGTTGATGAAATCGAAGAATTCTAGGGACGTGTCGAAACAAAAAAAATTTATGTCACACGCATAGCACCGTCATCTACTGACTCAGATTGTGTTTTTTATTTGGGTCTAGAAGTATCTGCGGGCTCTGGAGAAAATTTTGAATCCCTCTAGGCCCTGCCCAGAACCAAGAAAGCACGAATTCTTAATTTATCGCAGAGAGAGAAAAAAGATCATGAAGCGAGGAAATTGACAACATGTCCGACGCAACAGACTCGGCGAAAACAAGCAACAGAGGCGGGGCTCGTAGTGGGGCTCTCTTAATACCGAAGTTGAAAAGCGAATTCGATAGCATCCGTAGTTTGTATGAGCTTCAAGTAATGAATTCGTATCATGCCGTTGAACGTGGAGCCAACTTAAAGCAGTACTATGATGGAAGCATATTCCCCCCATATTCCACCGTGGGAAGGCTCGACATATCTCTTTGCCGCAAATCCCTTTGCCACGGCTTCCTTCAAGCCATTCTAGACTACTGGCCCAACAAAGCGTTGACAGCAGACGAGCAGAGAGTGATTTTCCCTTACAATATATTCGGTGCGGCATTTCTAACGTTAACGACGCTAGGTGGTGGATTGCTGACGTACCAAGCAGGCAGCAAGGTTCCCAGGCCGGGCGGCACCGGTGCATTGCATCTTGAGTGATACGCAGCACTCTGCTTGAGAAACATGAACATGTGCATCTGGTCAGGGCCACGTGGACCCATCAATTCTTCTTGGACACCACTTACATCCGTGTCTTTCGCCTTTTTATTGGCTGTACTTGGCATGGGCCATACTCTAGAACCAATAAAATCGTGTTCCAAGAATTACTCTTCTCGGGGAAAAATAGGAAACAGACTACTTTTGATACAGCTTTTTGCACACCCCACCACCCCTCACGCTTCACGATTCTAGTATTCCGAGCTACAAGTGTACTGAAATTCTTTAATAATACTGAACATCAAGAATACAACAGTGCAGCAGTATCATACTTTTGCGGGCTACATTCTCGCCATCAATGATGTGCCGTCGTACATGTCTTTCGTTTGTTTCGAAGAGCGAGTTTGAGGAGCACAGATACAGCTGCATGGACAAAAGTTCCCAACAGGCTCTATTTTTGCTCTATGGAGATCATAGCAGTGCCAGCATGACGCCGTGCGTATATTTGACACACGATTGCAACTTACATCAACGGAATACAACAATCCCTTTCCTCATGACCTCTATTGTCACCCTCCCCCTCCATTCTTGATTTTCATATTCATTCCATCTATCATCCTCTATGAGATGAGAGGATATAGCCCTTCAGCTTTTCTTACACGTCCCCCCAACTGTTTCACCAGTCCACGTTGGATCCCGATCCGTTCTTCCTTTTTCTTCTTCGCTCTTCGCCTTTCGACTCTGTGTTTTACTATTCAATATCAGAATATGCCAGCGCCCCTCGGGGCCCGCCCTTATTCAACATTTTTGTAAATTCCTCAATATATTTCCCTATTGCACACCGTAATCTTCATTCCACCCCCAGCCCTACAAAGTATTCTACTTCTACATGAAAATATACATGCTTTCTACCTGCCTATAGTTTCTGGCGGCTACCCTAAGGTTGAGCTCGACTGAAGAGAGGAAGAAGACGGCGCGGATTAGAGCGCTGAAGAAGATGACGGAGTTTTATGTTATTGCGGAGAGGGCTTATGAAGTTGTGGAGGAGATGCAGACGATTCTCCGCGAGCACTTTATTAGGGACAAGAATATCGAGTTGCAGGGAGTGAAGATGAGGGTTTCTGATTTGAACCTGAAGCGGAACCCCAGGCCCTCGAGCCTTTCTTCATGCCTAAGAACCCGGATATTTTGAAGGAGCCCAAAGAGAGGGACATAAAACGCGAGAGGTGTAATCAAGTACTGAGGGTATCAATTATTCAAAGACTGACAGGCGAAAGATGGGCAAGAAGATCAGGTTCCACGAAGAGTCCGAACCTGACCATCATGGAGATAGGAAGAACGCTAATGTTAGTTACAATCAGTTGAGCTCCGAAACGCACGACAGGGCAGGCCAGAAAACAAAGTCGAGAAGAGGTGCCGTGCAGAAACCGAATTACGCTGTGTTAGTCGATCGCTGTCGTCCCAAAAGCAAGGCTCTGGCTGTAATAGCGTTCCATGGATTGAAATTGATCAGCGTTTCTTGATTCGTAGCCGAGCTGTAGATGAGGTCGGGAGAGCACGGCCATAACTCGGAAATTACGTCATGAGTACAGCTGCAAGCAGAGTATTAATTTTTCTCGCCGAAGAGTGCTCCGGGAAGACAGCCTATAATGGAGCTGAAATGCTCTTCACCGCGTAGAAGAGATGAAAACGAATGGGACTCTAAAACGCACTTTGATACAGATACACAATCGTTAGAAAGTCTGTCCATCGATGGATAAGTTTTAACAATCTTGATAATGAATTGGCAAATGTAGATGCGACCGCAGCCGCAAGTAACCGGGGGAAGTTGCGGACTTCAGATGTACGCGGCTGTTGTTTACAAAACTCAAAAAGATGCGGTGTGCAAAATAAAACATTCGAAGGTCTTCGGGCCTTTGGGTAATCCAGAAAAGAAAGCAAGAGCTGGATTGTCCGATGGATTCTTGCGCCTTTGTGCATTCTCGATTTCTCTTCCATCCTTCACCATGAACAGGCTATCATCGGACGAATAAATTCTTCCAGGATGAGTTGGGGATCGTTGTGGTCGGGGACGTGGCAAAAATTTTCGCTTGCCTTTTCTTGCCTCGTTCTCAGACCAATTGGTGCCACTAACTGGTGCCTTCAAAACTAATGCCGTTCGGCGAATACGAATCCAGGTCGGGGTCACAGGAAAACATCATCGTACTCGTTGTCCATCTGTAGAGCAAGGCCCATTCCGCTATCCTTAGCTCCATCGCACCGATGTGGGCACAAGCGCTGCCCCGTTCTGCATATTCCGTCTAGAAGATTAAGAGAGGTCTTCACCAAGAAGCTCATCAGCATCACGTCCTGAAATGCTGCGAACAACTGTTCCCGTTCCTGAGCTCTAGGTAGAAAAAGGGCCTCATAAGCCAAACAGGCTGCTTCAGCCGTTTACGGAACCTTTACTGATGCAATTAAAGAAGGAGCTCCCACAAGTACAGGGCCCGTAAAAAAAAACTTTGCACGTCTCACATCTGTGCTATAAGAGCATCCCCACCGGCGAGTGTAAAGTGCTAAATATTTTAGAAACTTGGCGAGCCTTGATTGGCCTCTCGCTATTATACACCTTTGCTTTTTTAAGACCTTGCTGAGCACTGCATTGACCTGCAGGTCAACCCCACCGGCAAAAACGCGCACCCTCCTACTTGTGAAGTGCATGCTCCTACTCACTGAAGTCCGATGCAAACGCCTTCACAACCTCCACGGAGTACCATTGGCATCTCTGACTTCGTGGAGGACGACATTCTCGATATTGTTGAGGATGTTTTGTCCTCGGACAGCGACAGTGAGCCCCCAAAACACAAAGGCTCTTATCCGGGGAAAAAGCCAAATCTCGAGCGCAACCCAAAACGAGAGCGAGGTGCGCAACTGCTAGTGACGGCTGTCCCTTCGAAAGACGTAGGGTGGCTGCCAGACAAACTTACGTTTAGTGCGGACATGTACAGGATGGGGAGGAGTGTTGGTGGAGACTCACTTGGCGCAGCACGACTTGTTAGGACGGGGAACAACGGCCTTAGGAGGAACAGAGGTGTTGGACCTTCAGGTAGTGTGGTGACTCCTTTACTTTGAGTAGGGCATAGAAGTACATATATACTATCCTACTGATCCCGTCGTCATAAGCCTGCGAACTGACGACACAGTACGTCCAGGTCAGTTGCAATGGCAGGGACTGGCCTGGATACTTCATAATGGTCGCTAGACATATTGTTACCCAATCGGGCGATTTTCTACAGTGCGAAACTATCCGTGATTCAAGTGTTATGTCCTGAAGCATTCTCTTGCTCCATCCAGAGTCCTAGTACATTTCACCTGCGTAATCCTAAGCATGCTGGGCACATCTCAACTCTCCCTCTTGCCCTCATGCTCGCTCAACAACATCACGCCAAGCTGATCACGCATGTACTCGAACTTGATCCGTCCCAATGGCTTGGTCATGACATCTGCTATCATTTTGTCTGTGGGGCAGTGCACAATTCTGACAGTTCCGTTTTCAACATTTTCTTTGACGTAGTTAACTCTTACTGCCACATGTTTGGCATGCCGAACGCCTTCACTTGCCCAAACAATAGATCCTTGATTATCTTCATAAATGATTGTGGGACCAGCAATGTCGACATTGAATTCAGACAGAAGCTTGCGGAGCCAAATGATGTTTTTGCATGCCTCCGTCAATGCCACATACTCTGCTTCTGTAGTGGAGAGAGTTACGCAATTTTGCTTCTGACATTTCCAAAACACAGAAGTGTGTCCGATCTTTATAAGCATTCCCGAAGTGGACCTGCGATCAGACGTGTCGCCCGCCCAGTCTGAATCGGAGTACCCTTCCATGCCGCCCTCGTCCTTGCATATTCTGATTGCGTAAGTCCGTGTCCCTTTCAAGTACCGTAGTACACGTTTCGCAG